GTTGCTGCTCTTGTAAGAGCGTGTTTTCTGTCGTTTTAGTGTGCGCTCTCTCTGCTCCGAGACCACACACGGAACAGGCCAGCCCGCGGTCCCGCCCGCCCTCTGCCGAGCGAGGGGGGGGGGGCGGGAGGGCGAATGGGGGCGGAGTGGCGAGGGGCGAGGGGCGAGGGCAGGGGCGGGCAGGTGCGAGGGGGACGAGGCGAGGACACGGGCGAGGGCGAGGACCCAGAGGAGGAGGAGGAGGAGGAGGAGGAGGAGGAGGAGGAGGAGGAGGAGGGATTCGCTGGGAAGGTTTCGCATCGATGCCGTGCGGCACAGCCCGCACCCGCCCCCAACATCATGGTGAAAATCGAAACCGACGTAGCAACCCTGGGCGCAGGGAGGGCCGTCACTTAACAGGCGCATCTCGCGCCAAATCTGGAGGAGGAAGGGGAGGAGGTAGAAGAGGGGGATTGAAAGGAGGGGGTGGGAATTCCCCTCCAGGGACAGGGCCGCTCCCAACGAGCGGGGGTGGGGGGCCGAGATGGCGGAGAGCACGAGGGCAAAATCCGACGCCGAGCACACGACGACCACGCCGACGACGACCATGGCGCCGACGGGCTGCCGACGAGCGACGACAGCGTCGGGCGACCGACGACGACGACGACGACAACGGTCCACCGATGACGACGCACGACGGGGGACCGATGACGACGACGACGACGACGACGACGACGACGACGACGACGACGACGACGGGCCACTGACGTCGACAACGGGCCACCGACGGCGACGGGCCACCGACGACGACGGGCCACCGACGACGACGGGCCACCGACGACGCGACAAGGGTGGCGACGATGACGACGATGACGACGACGATGACGACGGCGACTTATGGGCGGCGGCGGGCGGCGCCCAGGGCCTCGGGCAGTTTGCGCACGCGGACGGGGACGTGTTCGTGGGCGAGTGGAGGGGGAACGCGGCGGAGGGCTTAGGCCCGGCGCCCCACCTGGCGTTGCCCCTGCAGGAGAGAGGATTGAATTGGGCAGTGGAATCGGAGGATGGACGATGATGATGCTGATTATGTTGATGGTGATGGTGATGGTGATGGTGATGGTGATGATGGTGATGCTGATGATGATGATGACGACGACGATGATGATGATGATGATGATGATGATGATGATTATGATGTTGGTGTTGATGGTGAGGATGATCTGATGATGATGGTGGTGGTGATGATGATGCTGATGATGCTGATGATGCTGATGACGATGACGACGAAGATGCCGACGACGACGATACGGATTATGATGATGCTGATGAGGGGGTGGCGGGGGTGGTGGGGCGGCCCCTGATCCTCCCCCCTTCCATCGAGCTTGGGCGTCCTCTGCTGCAAAGCGTTGCGTTGCTTTAGTGCGTGGTGCACACGCGCTTTCTAGTGCATGGTTGCTTGTCATTTGTATGTGTCTTGCTCTGCGCATCTGATTTGCATGCGCGCGCGTATGTTGCTCATCGCGAGGCTTTGCGCTTGCATTTTTGGGGGGCCGTGATGAACTCAGACTTTTGCGTTGCTTGTTGCGTATCTCGCGCCATTCGAATCTGCATTACAGTGCATTTGCACTGCATGGGCATGGCGTGGCAGGACATGTGTACTCCGTAGCCGTTTTGGCTCAGGACTCCCGGGCCCAGCCTCTCGGCGGAAGCTGCGGCCAGCGTGCCGCGCTGGGGGCGGCCCGCCCTGCTGGCAGAGGACCTGCTCGGCATCGGCGATGACCCTCGGCTCTTCCAGACCCTGCCTCTTGGGGAGCTTCTCGAGGATGGGCGATGCGGATGGCCGCGGCGCCGCTCCGCGTCGGCGCCCACGAGGCTCGGCGTCGGCGGCAGCGGCGCGGCTCGGAATGGGCGGCGACGGTGCACCACCGAGCGTGTTCCACTACTGGCAGAGTGCCTACTCGCAGATGCCCCAGAAACACATGTTCGCCTCGATGCAATGGGCCGTAGGCCCCCCGCGGCGGATGCAGGCCTCCTGCGAGCAGTTCTCTCTGCGAATCCTGGGACGCGCCTGTCTCGGGCATCCGCGGCGGCGGCGGCGTCCAGCGCGGCGGCCCGGCACCGGCGGCGCCAGTGCTCGGCGGCCGGGCGGCGGCGCGCCGTGGCTCGGCACCGGCGGCGGCGGCGCCCGAGCTCGGAGCCGTCGGCGGCGATGGCGAGCGCCGCTGGCGGGCATCGGCGGCGGCCCGGCTCGGATTTGGCGACGGCGATGGCGCTGAGCGCCGCGTCTCGAAGACGAAGCATGGCATAAACACAAACTTTCGGCGCTTCGCGCGCGCTTCTTGGATCTGCGCTGGGCGACCCTGGCGCCGCCGCCGCTGGCGCGCTCCGCGCGCCGGGGAGGGGGGTCCAGCGCAGATCCAAGAAATCCGCGCAGAACGTCGAAAGTTTCTGCTTATGCTGTTTTTCTACCTCCATCATCGGCGACACCTGCGCTCGCAACCGTCGGCGATGATCAACAGCGCTGTGGCTCGGCTTCGGCGCGGCTGCGCCAGGGCTCGGAACTGGCGCCGAAGGCGACGACGATCAACGCCATGTCCCTCGACAGTCAGAGGCGGTGGCGCTGCCTGCAACAGTGTCGATGACGACCGCCGTGGCTCTCATCAACATCTGCGGTCGACGGCGATGATGAAAGCAGCGCTTCGGCGTCGGCGGCGACGGCGCTGCTTGGAATCGGCGGCGAGGGCGAGCGCCGTGGCCAGCCGTCGGCGGCGGCTCTATGGCCTCCGTCCAGCGGCGAGGGTCCGTCAGCGAACCTGAATCCTAGTGGGTGCTTATGAGGAGGGGAACCGGGTGGAGGATGTATTGCAAAATCGTTGATGGGTCTTGGATTTGCACTGGTCCTCCTCCCCCCTCCTCCTCTTCTGTCTCTTCTCCAACTCCAGTTCCTCGTCCGTCTGTTTGGAAAGAGCAAGCACGGTCTCTCTGCCTCCCTGAAGACCGCAGTGCGGGTTCATATGTTTTTTGATTCAAAGACCGCGCGGTTGACAGTATGAGGCTTCATGCCTCGGGGGGAACGCCATTCTTTAGCCAGGTTGGTATTCTCAGTAAGTTCGTCGATGCATTGCAACAAGCTGTTCCACCCTCCTCGTCCTCCTGTCCTTGGGCCTGGCACGAGAGGGTGCTCAGCCGAGTGCTCGTGAACAGAAGGGCAGATCCCCTCTCTCCCGCTGCCCCTTGGGACTCGCCCCGCTGCACCTCCCAGCCCGCCCACTCCCCCCCGGCCTCGAACCGCTCTGCGCGAGCCCTTGCGCCCATCTTGACGCGGGCGTCCCGCGCCGCTCGCCGCCGCGGCAGCGAGGGGCCCCCGCCGCTCCGCGCCGCGGGCGGCGGCGCCGCCCGCGGATGCGCCGATGGGCCCCTCGAGCCCACTGCGCGCGCGGCCCGGCGACGAGGACCTGGCCTGGCCGCCGCCGCCGCCGCTGCCGTCGCCGCCGACACGGTCGTCTTCGTTCGTCGTCGTCGTGTTCGTCGTCGTCGTCGTCGTGTTCGTCGTCGTCGTCGTCGTCGTCGTCGTCGTCGGTGAACCGAAGACTGAAGCGTCGTGCGGGTCGGGTTTCGCTGTTTTCAAGGAGCCCCCTGAATTCACACCCAACCGCAGGGGCCTCTTCTGATCCATTTCTTTAAGGTTGCGGCACTGAGCACACCGACCCCACTTTCCACGTTTTGTTTTATAAGGTGCGGTCAGACCCACAAGTACGGTGGGATCGACGCCGACAATAGTCGACGGTAGGCGGTAGGCGACGGTCGTCGACGGCAGGCGACAGACGACCGACGACCGACGACGACGACGACGACGGAACACTACAAAGACAAGGATTGGCGACGACAGGCGACGACCACGACAGTCACGACGACAACGACGAGGACGACGACGACTGACCACAGACGACGGACAACAGACGACCGACGACGGACGTCAGACGACCACGAAAGGCGATGCCGACGACGACAGACGACACACGACAACGATGGATGACAGACGACGACGATGACGATGACAGACGATCGACGACAGACCACAGACGACGACAGACGACGGCAGACGTGGAGGTGGCGGTGGGTTGTGGTGTTCTCAGTTTCCCTCCTTCCCTCTCCTGCCCCCCGACCTGCAGCCGCTTTGGCCCCCCCCGTGCGCCCGCAGAGCTCTCGACGACAGGCTGGGGCAGCACGCCGCCGCGCCGCGATGGCCGCCGGGTGCGCGCCGATATCCGACGTGGTGGAGATCGGCTGTCAGGCGACTGTTTCTGTGAAGGGTCCAGCGATAGCCAGGATTGTTGGGCCCGGCCCCCCCTCCCCCCCCGGATAACCTGACCTTGTCGGTTACACGGGGGGAGGGCGGCGGTGGATCGCGGGGGCATGCGAGGGGCTGCCCAAAGCGAAGAGGTTAGGTTATCAGCCGGCGCCTCCCCCCTCCTCCCGCCGATAATCAGGGTTATCGCTGACGAATATGAGACGATCTCCAGGAGTCCCAGGCCTTCTCCGAGGACGAACAAATTGCACAAGCATGCGCTCTCGGAGCTCAGCGCGGGTTTCTTGGATCGGCGCTGCGCCCCCGCGCGCCAGGGAGGGATGGGGTCCCGCTCCGATCCGAGAAACCCGCGCGGACCTCCGAAAGTTGTATGCCTCGGCCGATTTTTTGTTCCTTCACTTCTCGAAGGAGAATCAACGCAATAAACATAAACTTTTGGCGCTCCGCGCGGATTTCTTGAATCCGCGTCGGGCCCTCCTGGCGTCGCCTCCAGCGCCGCCCCTGGCGCGCTCCGCGCGCCAGGGAGGGGGGTCCAGCGCAGATCCAGAAACTCTGCGCGGAGCGCCCAAAAGTGCATGCTTGTTTGGGCGTCAGTCCTCCTTCGGAATTCTGCAACTTCGTGGTGCTCGCGCCCTCGTGCACCCCTCCGGGCTGCCGGCTGCTGCCCCGTGTGAGCCTGCGCCGGGAGGAGGCTCCCGCGGCCGCCCCGTCGGGTGCGGCCAAGGGTGGCCCCGGACCAGGGCGACCCCAGCCTTTCCCCTCGAGATCCTGGAGACAGTTTTTTCCCCAGTCATCCTGTGGTGTTGGGTCCTCGATTTGAACAGACAGCACCCCGCGTTCCTCCTCCTCCTCCTCCTCCTTCTCCTCCTCCTCCTCCTCCTCCTCCTCCTCCTCTCCTCTCCTCTCCTCTCCTCTCTCCTCCTCCTCTCCTCCTCCCCCTCCTCCATCCCCTCCCCTCCTCGCCTCTGCGCTTCGCATGTCTCTGTTTCGCCGCACCCATCACACGTTTCGTGGCCTCATCGGGGGCTCCACCGAAGGCCCAAGTGGCAGGGCCCGCATACTGCCACCTCGCCATTTCGGCACACCCCTCACGTTTCATGGCCCCATAAGGAGCTGCACCGAAGGACCCAGTGGCAGGGCCCGCATACCGCCACCTCGCCATTTCGGCACACCCCTCACACGTGTCGTGGCTCCATCGGGTGCTCCATCGAAGGACCCAGTGGCAGGGCCCGCATACCGTCACCTCGCCATGCCAGCACACCCGTCACACGTTTCGTGGCCACATAGGAGGTTCTACCGAATGCCTCAGTGGCTGCGTTCGCAGGGGGTTCACCCCCCCATTTCGGCGAACCCCTCACGTGTTCCGTGGCCCCACAGGGTGCTCCACTGAAGGCCACAGTGGCAGCGCCCGCATGCGGTTCCATTCCCCATTTTGGCGCACCCCTCGCACGCTTCGTGAGGGTCCGCATGTCGGTGCCGCCCCATTTCTGCACCCCGCGCACGTTTCGTGGCCCCATAGGGAGCTCCACCGAAAGCCCCAGTGGAAAAGGCCGCCTGCCACCGACGGGCCACTTTGGCACACCCTTCAAACGTTTCGTGGCCGCATCGGAGATCCACCGAAGATGGTGCTCACAACTGCGGTACGTATCATTGCTTATAGTTGGGTCTTTCGCAAGGCTAATTTATCCCCAAGCGATCTGTCGTCGTTTTCTTATTCCCTGTTTCGCCGATCGGCGCGGGCCCTCGCACTCCCCCCCCAATGAGTAGGTCTTGGCTGTTTTTGGCGGCTGTTTCGAGCAGGTGGAGTCTCCCCCATATGTCGCACTGTCACACACAGCCGCGCTAAGCAGAGGCCCAGAGCCAGACTACCACCTCCCCCCCCCTCCGCCCAATGTCGAAACGCAGAATAAGAAAACGTTCACACGCGGGCGTGACCGTGGGGGGGAGATGGTGCGGGGGCCGGCCACATCACGATTCGCGCCGGCTTGGGTTGGGAATGACCGATTCCCACATGGCGACCGCGCGAATTGTGACGTGACCAGGGGGGGGTAGTCAAGGGGGGGGCCAGCTCGGTCACGTGCGTTATCGCGAAGAATGAACGGGCTCATGGCGTGTCAGTTTCTTCGAGCCAGGCGTTCTCGCCGTTTTTTCGGGCCACGGGAGCCTCACAGATCGATCCGGCTCGAAAAATGTAGCAGAACGATGGGGTCCGCTCGAAAAATGTAACAGAAAGATGGAGTCCGGGGCTTTCGGCGTGATTTTTCACGATGTGGGCTTTTGGTCGCTAGGTCGGGCCTCAGGGCAAGGGAGGCGCAGATGGCGTCCAGAGCATTCCTCACGGAGGCCCAGAGGACCGGACCCCAGGGGCTCCAGAGTGGCGCGGGAAGCGTGGGACACGCCGCGGGGCTCCAGAGTGCCCTAGGGGCTCCAGAATGACTGGGACCGCTTCCCGGACCCAGAGCCCCTCGGGTCCTGAAGAAGTCACGGCCGAGGGTTCTCGCTGCTTTAGGCCTCTGGGGGCCAGGCCTCGGGACCGTCAGGCAGCGGCTCGGGATGAGAGGCCAGTCCCGGGCAGAGGGTCGAGACATCCAGGGCCGACGTTTTGGTTGAAAAACACTCAGGACGTCGGGGGCCTCTTACTCTGCATCTTTGGGGGGCCTTTCTTGCCCTGTGAATGGCAGTCCTTTCTTGCACTCCGACGTGGATTCAGTGTGGATTCGACACGGAGTCGACACGGGTTTGACACGGGTTCGACGCGCTCGACACGGATTCGGCACGGTTTCGACGTGGATCGCGGCGCGACGGGACAGACACGGTCCGCCGAAAATGCATCGAGACGAGGTCCCCAGAAGTCCCGGGCCTCTCCCCATGGGGAAGGGGGCAGCCCGGCCCTGCAGGGCCGTTTTTTTCGTTCTCCTCCTGAGCAGTTTTTTGACGGCACTCCTCCCCCCCAATGTTTCCGGATTTTCCGCCCCAACCTTCCGCCCCCTTTTCGAAATGATCTATGCGGATTTCTCTGAGTTTTGAATTGCGTGAGATTTTTCACCAGTTTGGATGAACTCTTCCGCGCGTTCCGCGGACGTCGGAAGGTACGGGGGGTGGAGGTGGAGGGTTGGGGCTTCGCGCGGTCCCCGGAGGCCGACAGCTGTTAGTTTCGTGCCTCACTACGCGAGCACGTCTCCAGGACTTCAGATGGGGTCAGAGTACAGCCG